CCAGGACGACTAGTACTACTACTACTACTACTCCTACTGCTACTGCTACTGCTACTGCTACTGCTACTGCTACTGCTACTGCTACTGCTACTGCTACTGCTACTGCTACTGCTACTACCACCACTACTACTTCTATCACTACTACCACTACTACCACTACTACCGCTGTCACTTCTAGTTCTACTACTACAGCTACTACAGCTACTACGACTACTACTACTACTACTACTACTACTGCTACTACGACTAGCATTACTCTTCCATGTATTTTTTGATCCAAACTTAAATTTTGTTTGATCCGTTACTCTTATGTTTTTCACTAGCACTGTTTTGTTTTGATCATGTTTTTTTTTTAATCCGTTTGCTTTGTTTCTTGATGCCTTTTTTGATCCATCACCGCCGCCTTACACAGGTCAGTGCAGTTCGATCGGTGACCACAGCTGCTGCACGGTTGCCGATGCTGCGAGCGATGGTGCAGGCTGGCAGGATCAGGCGTTGTTGAGAGGGGAAGTGTTGGCCTGGACGTTGGGGTTTGAGAGATGAACAGGTTGAGCAGTTGAAGGTTGTGGAACTCCAAGTCTTAAAACCTGCAATCCGCGTATTCAAGCCCTACAGGAGAAGCGCATCGTTCGCGTGATCGAGGTCCGGGGGTTATGGGCAAGGGACCCCTGTGGCTGGCACGAATTCCGACAAGTTTCGCTTGTCTCAGCAGGGTCTTAGACATCTTGCGCTTGCATTGCCAATTGCAGGGACCAGTAGCGGCTCAGATCAAGATGGGCGATGCTCTTTTGTGGGTCTTGGTGCGTCCCAGGTCCACAGCGGCTTCTCTGCCCTTGTTGTGGATGCAGCGAGTGCTTCTCGAGATGGTAGAGAGGCCCGTGACAGCTTCAAGTGCATGCGTTGGCAATGTTCCGAAAGGTTGAACGCTTGAAGAAGTCTTCTGCAGCTTATCTTGCCGCAGCTGATGTCACTTGAAGCCTTGCTGGCGCTAGTCTTGCTGTTTTTGACTACTTTGCGGCCTCTAGTGCTGCCTCGGCAGCCCTGTGGGTTGAAAGCTTCATGCAGGCGTTTCAGCTTCACAGTGCTAGTTGGGTTATCGGGCGGAGGCTCGCACCATCTCGGGACTGAGTGGGCGCAAAAGTACGCAAACAGGGAATCAAGACTTGGCTACTTTGCAGGTCACTTTCGATTGCCTTTGGTCCTCCTCCTTGACCTCCAGCGCGATCAAAGGCCTTGTAGAGTTCGGCAATCAAAACCGATCAAAGCTTGCAAGGAGAAAGGACCTGTTGAAGCTCTACTAAGTACTCGTACGGCTTCGGGGAGGCAAGCCGGACATAGAGACGGTGACGACGTCCGAGCGCCTCCACATTGTGGATGATGTGCTCGAGGCTTGGGCCGTATTTTCGAGCCTCGACCTGCCTGGAGTGCTTCGTGTGTCAGGTGTCGGACAAACCCATACTCTACGACGGGGACACCGGGGGTGCCAAGGAGGCGGGGGACCGGGGAGTGACCCGGCAAGTCTTCGTTCCAGTTCCCGGTCGGAAGATCTTTGCCTTCACCGTGCGAAAGCTGGAGCGCCTGGGAGTCTCCGGTGTGGTCATCGAGGACAAGTGCCTCTCTTAGGACTGGGTATACGCAAGTTTTGGTAGGGGATCGATAACACTGCAGAACACTGCATGCTGGTCTGGCGAGATTTCGACAAAGCGGTGAGGTGTGGACTCAAGCAGAATTCCCTCTTCGGGACAGACAGAGTTCAAAGCCTGGAGGACGGGTGTGGAGCCTTAGAGCTTCTATGCCCTAAGACTCGCTCAAAGCCATCCCAAGGCCCCCTTGTCCGAGTGGAGGATGTGGATGTTTTCTGCGACAAAATCCGAACGGGCAAGGATGCCCAGGCAGGATTTGGCTTAAAAGCCATACAAGAGCCACACAAGCTTTTCTTGGTCACAGCTTTTCGCAGGTGACCAGCCATTTCATGATCTTCGCTCGTCTGGAGGCTTGGCATCTTGCTTTTCACATTTCAAGCATTTCTTTCGGCCGGATAGCGTCATGCGCTTCAGGCCTTGATCGCGGGGCTGGGGGAGGAAGAGGCCACGTTGGCAGACAGCGTCACAACCATCGCTGGTAGAGGAGACATTCTGGCAATGTGGCGTGCACATTTGTTCTTCCTGCGCAGTGTCTCCAACGAGCACGGGCCTACGTGACCAAGGGAGGTGCCGACGGCATCATGATCCACTCGAAGGCTTTGGCAATTGACCGATTTCTGCTTTTGCAATCCTTGCGTTGGCTGTGCTGACGAGAATCTGCCGTCAAGGAGAAGGAGGGCACGGATATTTTCTCTTTCATGAAGCGATGGAGACAGGAGGCCCCATAGTCCAATTCTTTCCCACTGCGTTCTTGGTTCGCAAGCGAGCCGAATGCTGCAGTTCCCGGACGTGCCCGTTATCGCAGTGCCGACGACTTACAACCACGTCACTGAAGACGAGCTGCAGGACGATTCATGCTATTTGTGCCGAAGGCTGGAGAATGCACGCTAAAAATGCAGGAAGCCGGCATCAATATTTGCATCTATGCAAATCAGCTGCGTGGGTCTCGGAGCTCTTACGGTCATGTCATTCAACCGGGTTAAACTCCGTGGCGTGGCCTCAGGCTACGAGCATCGTACAATGCCATGAAGCTTCGCAGCAGTTGGCACTCCATCTGCCTGCCACCACTCCGGCTCTGCTTGCAAGAAGCTGTCACAGCTGACGCCTCCAGCTCTGCCCGTGAGCCTTCAGCCAGGTTCAGATGTAGATCGAATGCCTCTCTTGGCCTTCTTAGGCTTGACACCGCTACGAAAATCCTCCAGGCCGGTCGTGCCAAGGAGGTCGACAGCCAGATTTTGCCGCGCCTCGGCCCTCTTTCCGTTTCGAACCCCGGGAGGAGGGATTTGGGCAGTTTATGGCAGTTTCCTGGTCGCCAGAGATTTTTTTATAGATTTTCTAGAGAAGAGGCTTTCCGCCGATGAGCTGTGTTTATCAATGGAGAGCCGAGGACGAAGAAGATGATTTCCCTCATTGATGATAACACCGAGAAGTCCGACTGCTGAGCCTGACAAAGGCTAGCCGCTTCTCCGTCGATGCTCGTGGATGCATGGAATTCTGCAGACGGACTCTGGAATTCTGAATGCTGGGGCCCACTTGCTTCCAAATGAAATGATTACTGCCCAGCTTGTGAATTCAGTGTATTCGGACAGAGGGACAGAAACATACTGGCCGTTGTTTCATCATGCTTCCACCTTTGTATTTTGTCACATGCTTATTCGGCTACGTGCTAGCCCAGCGACACATTGGTGCCATCATCATGGTTGTCACTGGTAGTAGGACTAGGAATGCATGCTGTTTTCCAATCCCTCGTGACTCGCGGGCGGCCGCGCTCCGAGGGCAAGTGGCTGAACCCACATGGAACCTGCAGCCTAGTGCCGGAGATGAATGATGTTCCGATCGCGCCAACATCCGAAAGAATCTAAACAACAAAAGCGACTGTTACAAAACTTTCTCGGTCGTAGCAAAAGTCAAGTCATGTCCGATGATCATGCTTGAGGGTTCAGCCGTCGCAGCCACACTGACGGCATAATTTGAGAAGCTACCGGAAGGGTACGCCTGCGACTCTGCTCGCAAGGTCAGCTGCAGCAGGATGAGAAGGGCCCGAATTATTTGGGTTCCCTTCCAAAATGTCTGTGACCACATAGGAAAGCCGTTTGTGATCCCCAGGAAAATGTCCAAACCTTGCAGCTGCGCGTAACTCGGTTAGTCCCGATGTTATGGAGTTTTCAACCTTTGGCAGAAGCGCTACATGCCAGTCTAGCATACGAACTCACACATACTACGGAGCCGAATGCTGTTGTACATCCTGCCTCAACGCGGACAGTGACCAGCCTCGGGAAAGAGCGAGTCAAGCTGCACCATGTACACTTCACAATGCATGTGTGGCTGTTGCCACGCGGCCGATGCCTGAACTCTGTTTTTGATGCTGATACTCCCACGACTACTATAATTATTACTACTAGTATTACCACAACAACCGCTACTTCTTGTCTGATTATTATTACTAGTACTACCACTACTACCACCACTACTACTACTACTACTACTACCACCACCAACGCACACCACCACCACCACCACCACCACCACCACGACTACGACTACGACTACCACTACGACTACT